GAGCAGTACAGCACCTCCGTCAGGTCCTGGGAGCAGTACAGCACCTTCGATGTAGACAACACGGCCAGTTGTCTACATCGTAGCCTTTAGACGGAGGTGCTGTAACTTTCTTCCTTGAGCGTTTTCTACAAGAAAAACGTTTGCGTTAGCTGCTGATCAGCGCTTATCGGTGGCGCTATGTTATGATTCGTAATAAAATTAATGTTCTTTCCCACAGTGCAACCGAAGGAACGTTTCCAGGAGCGTCCGCAATACAGTTCTTGGGAAACCCGGTTGTTGGGGGCCGCAATAACAGTATCGTTGTGGAGGACGGTGGCCTTATCTTCGGAGCTCAGTGCGGGCGTGTAGTTCATGGGTGTTTATCTCTTCCGCCTCTTGGGGCAACTGTGGCCGTAAACACCCCCCCCCCCCCATCCTCACCACCACCACACAAGAACACTGATCACCTGCATCCACTATCCCCTCCTATCCTCTCACTCTTCCCTTCCCATCCTCTCACTCTCACCTCCAATCCTCTCACTCTTGTAAGGAAGGAGTATCTCCACGAGTCTGGACATTCATTCCTTACACAGTGTGCAAACATTTATGTATATAGATATTTACATATGCAGGGTCCGGGACGCTAACTTTAAAATTGGCGCCAGAGTGCCGTACCTAGCCTCGGTCTGCGCATGCGCGAGGTGACACTCACCCAAGTGATAGAAAGTTTTTCGAAATTATATATAATTTCCCTCATATCGTAATAAAACTTTCCAAAGAACATACAGTAATTGAAAAATGTTATTTTATTAGAATTAGAAATAAATCTAAGAACCCTATGATCTATGTACGCAAATACTGGAAAAGATTGGCAAGAGTATTGGAACGTCAGTGAGGAAGGCATAGAGAGGAGGGAAGAGGTTGAAGGTGGAATTGGGATACAAGATTACAGAGATAATCTCGTGTAGACTCACGTGGTGATGGTGAGGCCTTGTGGTCCACATGGTGTAGTAAATATGTCAGCATTATAAAAGGGTAAACATAATTTTGTAACCTGAAAGACATTCGGGCATTTATATATAAAATAAGGAATTATAAATTAATATATTAGTAAACTTTACTGTTTACAAAAAAATTATAATTAAAATAAATAAATATACATTCTAACTTCTTAATTTTAACATAACTTGAATGTAATTAAGATTATATTTCTCATCCTCAAGGAAGTTGGTCTCCCTACCTTCATTATTCCTGAAGAAGTCTTCAACGCTCCAGGTTCAACTCCACCAACTGACCCTGTAGAGGATGCCGACTCTACATCCGACGACGACGATTCCGCCACTGCACTGCAAACTTCAGATCCTGTTCGGGTACCCACAGCTCACAAGATTCTGCCTCCTGTGACCACCACTTCTGCAACAGTTCCAGTTACCAACCATGACATCACTGTGAACGCAGCCACGCTTTCAGACTTACTGTCGGCTCCTGCTCCACACGCTTCTCCAGCTGCTGCTGTCCCTTCACCTGTCTCAGTGACGAATTTCGCTGCAATCGACCCCTGGTGTGACCCTATAGAGGGTACCAACTATGCAGCACCTTCTGCTGCAGTACCTACCACTGCTACTCAACCTCCAAGAACTCAGCCTTCAAGACATCAACCTTCAAGAACTCAACCTTCAAGAAATCTACCCCAGCGTGTCAACACCCCTGCTCTTCACTCATCTGCTGAATCGGATGAAGACGTATCTGTTGGAACACCATCACCTCCACGGAAAGATCACCTCCAAGCATGAACACGAAACGTAACCACCAAGTCCGAGAAGTCCAAAAAGAAGACCAACGATCAAAGTTTGGTGAAATCAACAAGGAAGAAGACTACTAACGAACTGACTTAACGTCAACATCTGACATCAAACCTCCACTGCCAGCTGCTTGCGTTCCCGGCCTCTGTGTGTACTGCAAATGACACCCTACTCAATTCAACTTCCATATGATCAAGTTCAAATCCGCAGTGGTTGGGCCACCGATCTTTCATCTCCCCTCTTCACCTCATACCCGGATCCTTGCTCAAGATTTCTGCAGCCTCGCCCCGTTCTTCCATCCCCTGCTTGCCAGCTCTATGGACGTTTTCAAGTTTCAAGGAAGTTCAGTATATCAGTGTTTTTTTAACATTTATATTTTATTTAAATATGTTTGGCTTCAGGCTAATTATAACACCCCCTTTGAGCAGCCTGTCCTCTCAAGCGTTTACGTCTTTAAAATGGTCTACTAAATTGCCCGAACCTAACCTAACCGAAGACCAAATAATAGAAAATATAACAGGCCGTCAATTAAGAGAGCTGCTGTGATTACATCATATCTTGGTCGGTGGGAATTTTTACCTCAAAATACGATGTACTATTCGAAAGACAGGTGATACCCGTCCTCTCGAATAGTACCTCGCATTTTGACGCATAAATCTCCCAAGGCCAAAAAAAATGATGTATTAAAATCATAACGGCTCGCAAAAATCAACGTGGTGTGCCGTTTTCTATTCGTGAGTCCTCGAGTAGGTTAGGTTCGGGCAGTTTAGTACATCAGTTTAGTGACGTTGAGAATGCTGGAGAGGACGGGTCGACGTATCAGGTATATCAATGTTTTCCTGTAGTTCAATTTTTAAGTATCTTGAGAAAATTTTCAATTTTCAATTATGAAATGCATCGACTGGTACCGAGTATTGAGTATCGACCGAGTCCTCTACTCGACCGATACTCAACAGGATTTAATCGTGTTATAACAGGTCCTAAAATCCTACTAAACCCTTACACGTGATCACACACGTGTAAGGGTTTAGTAGGATTTAGGGTTTAGAGTAAGGGTTTAGGGTAAGGGCACCTTAGGGCTGACCCTAAGGTGCTGACCCTTATACCTCCCACTCTCTCACTCTTCCCTCTCTCACCATTCCACTTCCCTTGCCTCCCTCACTCTTCCACCCTCTGCCAGACAACTTAATATAACCCAACATTCAGCCAGGGACAAAAGAGGTGAAGTTACACTGCCGCTCAAGCCAAAAATGACGTTTAAATTACACTGATCCCGGGGCTCAACGAGCGTCGAAAACTTGAGATTCTATCCAGAATGGCGTCGGTAATGAGCTGGGATTCTACCTTAACTAGAAAACTTATCCGGGAGTCTTGGAGCCTCTTAAGGTTCCAACTATGACTTGCCATGGTTTTTAAGTTGTTAATGAGACGTAGACTAAAGTTAATATAGACAGAGAAAGAGAGAGCAAGAGCAAGCGAGAGACAGAGAGAGAGCAAGAGAGAAAGAGTGAGAGAGGTGGGGCAAACAAAGACAATGAGAAAGAGAGAGAGAGAGAGAGAGAGAGAGAGAGAGAGAGAGAGAGAGAGAGAGAGAGAGAGAGAGAGAGAGAGAGAGAGAGAGAGAGAGAGAGAGAGAGAGAGATAGAGAGAGAGAGAGAGCGAGAGAGAAAGAGAGAGAGAAAGAGCCAGAGAGAGTCCCACCAAAGCTCCTGGTGTACATACTATCATCGTACAAAACTCTCAACTCTTGTCCAACAACACTCTTGCCTAACATAGATCACAGCAGAAACTAAGCTTTTACACCTACAAAACTCGTCCCCCCACAGAGCTCCTGCCTTACACGGCATCAGCTCTGCTGAGACTAGTCTTACTAGCCTCCACTCCCACACAGTGTAACAGATCTACGGGGGAAGATTTACCAGTTGATCCGTCTACCCACTCAGCCACGAGCTGTCGTGCCTCCAGGAAAAGGAAACATTTTGAGGAAAAAATGGCACATGTAACCATGTTAAACGGCTGTGTAAGGGAAATATTTCTTCTCGATGGCAAATATTAAAGTCACACGCTGCGTACGACAGTCACACGCTGTGTACGACAGTCATACGCTGTGTACGACAGTTACACGCTGTGTACGACAGTCACACACTGTGTACGACAGTCACACACTGTGTACGACAGTCACACGCTGTGTACGACATTCACACACTGTGTACGACAGTCACACACTGTGTACGACAGTCACACGCTGTGTACGACATTCACACGCTGTGTACGACATTCACACACTGTGTACGACAGTCACACACTGTGTACGACAGTCACACACTGTGTACGACATTCACACGCTGTGTACGACATTCACACACTGTGTACGACAGTCACACGCTGTGTACGACAGTCACACGCTGTGTACGACAGTCACACGCTTTGTATGACAGTCACACGCTGTGTACGACAGTCACACGCTGTGTACGACAGTCACACGCTTTGTATGACAGTCACACGCTGTGTACGACAGTCACACGCTGTGTACGACAGTCACACGCTGTGTACGACAGTCACACGCTGTGTACGACAGTCACACGCGGCGTACGACAGTCACACACAGTGTACGACAGTCACACACTGTGTACGACAGTCACAAGCAGTGTACGACAGTCACACGCTGTGTACGACAGTCACACACAGTTTACGACAGTCACACGCTGTGTACGACAGTCACAAGCAGTGTACGACAGTCACAAGCAGTGTACGACAGTCACTTTCCCTTACAAATGTACGACAGTCACACGCTGTGTACGACAGTCACACGCGGCGTACGACAGTCACACACAGTGTACGACAGTCACACACTGTGTACGACAGTCACAAGCAGTGTACGACAGTCACACGCTGTGTACGACAGTCACACACAGTTTACGACAGTCACACGCTGTGTACGACAGTCACAAGCAGTGTACGACAGTCACAAGCAGTGTACGACAGTCACACACAGTGTACGACAGTCACATACGGTATACCCCAGTACACACCACGTATGAGAGACGAGAAAAAGCTGCAGGAAGTCCTATAGTTTGTTTGTTGATCAACCAGTTGCGAAACTGTTCGTTCGCTACGAGAGGAAGGAGAACGAGCAACCTACAGTTTAACGATGCAGAAAACTGACCAATTCCTGCCATTGTGCAACTTGGAAAAGAATGAACATCGCAGGAAGAATAAATGACAGCAATCTTTGACTGCAGTCAGAAGTGGAAGAGCAAGTCAGACTTGGGAGAGCAAGTCAGACTTGGAAGAGCAAGTCAGACGTGGGAGAGCAAGTCAGACGTGGATGAACAAGTCAACCGTGGAAGAACAAGTCAGTCGTGGAAGAGAGCAAGTCAGAAGTGGAAGAGCAAGTCAGTCGTAGAAGAGAGCTTGTCAGAACTGGAAGAGAGCAAGTCAGAAGTGGAAGAGCAAGTCAGTCGTGGAAGAGAGCAAGTCAGAAGTGGAAGAGCAAGTCAGACGTGGAAGAGAGCAAGTCAGAAGTGGAAGAGCAAGTCAGACGTGGAAGAGAGCAAGTCAGTCGTGGAAGAGCAAGTCAGACGTGGAAAAGAGCAAGTCAGAAGTGGAAGAACAAGTCAGTCGTGGAAGAGAGCAAGTCAGAAGTGGAAGAGCAAGTCAGACGTGGAAGAGAGCAAGTCAGAAGTGGGAGAGCAAGTCAGAAGTGGGAGAGCAAGTCAGACTTGGAAGAGCAAGTCAGAAGTGGAAGAGCAAGTCAGAAGTGGAAGAGCAAGTCAGAAGTGGAAGAGCAAGTCAGAAGTGGAAGAGCAAGTCAGAAGTGGAAGAGCAAGTCAGACGTGGAAGAGCAAGTCAGACGTGGAAGAGAGCAAGTCAGACGTGGAAGAGAGCAAGTCAGGCTTGGAAGAGCAAGTCAGAAGTGGAAGAGAGCAAGTCAAAAGTGGAAGAGAGCAAGTCAAAAGTGGAAGAGAGCAAGTCAGAAGTGGAAGAGCAAGTCAGACGTGGAAGAGAGCAAGTCAGTCGTGGAAGAGCAAGTCAGACGTGGAAGAGAGCAAGTCAGGCTTGGAAGAGCAAGTCAGAAGTGGAAGAGCAAGTCAGACGTGGATGAACAAGTCAGCCGTGGAAGAACAAGTCTGCCGTGGAAGAACAAGTCAGCCGTGGAAGAACAAGTCAGTCGTGGAAGAACAAGTCAGCCGTGGAAGAACAAGTCAGTCGTGGAAGAACAAGTCAGCCGTGGAAGAACAAGTCAGCCGTGGAAGAACAAGTCAGCCGTGGAAGAACAAGTCAGCCGTGGAAGAACAAGTCAGCCGTGGAAGAACAAGTCAGCCGTGGAAGAACAAGTCAGCCGTGGAAGAACAAGTCAGCCGTGGAAGAACAAGTCAGTCGTGGAAGAACAAGTCAGTCGTGGAAGGACAAGTCAGACGTGGAAGAACAAGTCAGCCGTGGAAGAACAAGTCAGTCGTGGAAGAACAAGTCAGCCGTGGAAGAACAAGTCAGCCGTGGAAGAACAAGTCAGCCGTGGAAGAACAAGTCAGCCATGGAAGAACAAGTCAGCCGTTGAAGAACAAGTCAGTCGTGGAAGGACAAGTCAGACGTGGAAGAACAAGTCAGCCGTGGAAGAACAAGTCAGCCGTGGAAGAACAAGTCAGTCGTGGAAGAACAAGTCAGCCGTGGAAGAACAAGTCAGCCATGGAAGAACAAGTCAGCCGTGGAAGAACAAGTCAGCCGTGGAAGAACAAGTCAGTCGTGGAAGAACAAGTCAGCCGTGGAAGAACAAGTCAGCCGTGTACAGGTGTGAGACAATAGTCCTGGACGACGGTCAGCCGAGTATACATCTTACCACATCCAGATTTAAGAGCGTCAACGTTTGCTTATTTCAGTTGACTCCACTGCCATCACGCAGGCTCAGAGCCTCACTTTCTCACCACTAAACCGCGTAAGGAACTCTCTGTCCATTTTAAAGACAGAAAACCGTCTTGTAACAATTATGATTCAACCTGTGAATTTATTTCGTTTTATTTTTGCATCGTCTGCAACTCTGCTAATATTGCTGGACAGTGAATAAATCAGTTACTTATATAAACAACAGCGGAGCCACGAAGGTCCCCTGAGGCACCTCACCACTCTCAAGGAAAAGTTCCACAATTAAATATATAAATCTTATGTGAATAAATAAACTGCCCAGAAAGAAAGCTATATGGAAGTATCTCTTATCCTCGCTTTCCATGTCCTTGGTTCGATTAGTTGACTTGTTTTCCTTACGTATGCACTCTCCTTCCCTTCCCTTCCCTATTCCCTTCTCTCTTACCCTTCAGCCTCTTTTCCTGTTCGTTCACAGTTGATGCAATAATCGCGTCAATGATGCAACGAGTCGACTCCTTAGCGATGTCGGAAAGTTGGTAACATTGTTCAAGACTCCCTCAAACTTGTGGTAACTTTGTCTCAGTGAGCAGGCCGGAGTAGCGCTATGGACGGTAATTGCCTCAGTGATCGGGACAGTGACGTATTGGACGGTAACTGTCTCAGTGATGAGGCCAGGGTAGCACCATGGTCAGGGACGGTAACTGTCCCAGTGATGAGGCCAGGGTAGCGCCATGGTCATGGACGGTAACTGTCCCAGTGATGAGGCCAGGGTAGCACCATGGTCAGGGACGGTAACTGTCCCAGTGATGAGGCCAGGGTAGCACCATGGTCATGGACGGTAACTGTCCCAGTGATGAGGCCAGGGTAGCACCATGGTCAGGGACGGTAACTGTCCCAGTGATGAGGCCAGGGTAGCACCATGGTCATGGACGGTAACTGTCTCAGTGATGAGGCCAGGGTAGCGCCATGGTCAGGGACGGTAACTGTCTCAGTGATGAGGCCAGGGTAGCATCATGGTTATGGACGGTAACTGTCCCAGTGATGAGGCCAGGGTAGCACCATGGTCATGGACGGTAACTGTCCCAGTGATGAGGCCAACGTTATGTAGAATGACCCAAGTAAATGACGAGTGTGACACAATCAACTCTCACGAAACCATTATTTTGTGTGTGCAAGAGAAATAAATATATGTAGTAGACATAATAGAGGAAAAATAAATTGGTTAAAAAGGCGGGGTCCAGGAGCTAATAGCTCGATTTTGCATATACAGATAACAAATACACACACACACACACACACACACACACACACACACACACACACACACACACACACACACACACACACACACACACACACACACACACACAAAAAGAGCCTTTGATACAGTACCGCACATGAGACTGCTGTTCAAGCTCGAGAGGCAGGCGGGGGTGGGAAGAAAGGCCCTAGCATGGATAAGGAACTACCTAACAGGAAGGACCCAGAGAGTTACGGTAAGGGGCGAGAAGCCGGACTGGCGAACAGTAACAAGTGGAGTACCTCAAGGATCGGTGCTGGGACCAATTCTATTTCTAATATACGTTAACGACATGTGTACAGGAGTAGAGTCCTACATGTCTATGCTCGCGGATGAACTCAAAGTTGATGAGAAGAGTTGTGACAGATGAGGATTGCAGGATCCTCCAAGAGGACCTGAACAGGTTGCAGAGATGGTCAGAGAAATGGTTACTGGAGTTCAACACGAGTAAAGTAATGGAAATGGGACTAGGTGATAGGAGACCAAAGGGACAGTACACAATGAAGGGGAACTGCCTACCTGTGCGACACGAGAAAGAGATCTGGGCGTGGACGTAACACCTAATCTATCTCCTGAGGCACATATAAATAGGATAACGACAGCAGCATACTCTACACTGGTAAAAGTTAGATCATTCAGAAACCTAAATAAGGAGGCATTTAGGGCGCTTTACAATGCCTCCGTGAGGCCAGTCTGGGAGTATGCCGCCTCATCATGGAGTCCCCATCTGAAGAAGCACATAAGGAAACTGGAAAAGGTTCAGAAGTTTGTAACGAGACTCGTCCCGGCGTTACGAAGGATGGGGTATGAAGAGAGCCTGAAGGAACTGAGCCTTACGACACTAGAAAAGAGAAGGGAGAGGGGGGATATGATAGGAACGTATAAAATACTCAGGGGAATTGACAGAGTGGACATAGACGAAATGTTTACACGGAATAGTAACAGAAGGAGGGGACATCCCTGGAAACACAAACCGAAGCTGTCTCTATTTTCCGCTTGTTACAATTTGTAATAAAGGTATTACATCTTGGCTTAACGTGTTTATGACGTATTAGAACGTTGTTACAACTTGCTATATTGGTTGTTATAACTGGTTAGGAGGTGTTAAAACTTGTTCGAACGTTCTACCAACGTTGTAGTTTCGGTGTGTGTTTGGCGGAATGGGTGGAAGCTGGAAACTCAGATGAGTTACAGAGATGTTAGGAAGTTTTCTTTTAGCGTGAAAGTAGTGGAAAATGGAATGCACTTAAGGAACAGGTTGTGGAAGCAAATTCTATTCATAATTTTAAAACTAGGTATGATAGGGAAATAGGACCGGAGTCATTGCTGTAAACAACCGATGGCTCGAAAGGCGGGATCCAAGAGTCAATGCTCGATCCTGCAGACACAAATAGGTGAGTGCACACACACACACTGCGAGAACAGATGCAGCAATCAAAAAGCATTAAGTCAACATATCAATAAGATTCATTCAACATCATTAGTAATTAACAACGTCTATATCAACGAAGCAAACCACAGAATACAGCATTAATTGGTACACATCCCGTCACATTTGTCTTTTACAAAGGTTACAAAATTACGTCATTGCCTGAAACAAACTCCTTGAGAATTCATAAGATCAATTTACTTCGGCGGAAAGAGATGAAATTCGACATTATCTCTCATAAAGCAGAGGTGGTAAATCCTTGAGGAGGAGGAGAGTAGTATTCCTTGAAGGGGGGGGGGGGGGGGGTAGGAGTCAGCCACAGGATCCCTGGTGATTCTCGCCCTTATCTTGAGATGATTTCGGGGCTTAGCGTCCCCGCGGACCGGTCCTCGAACAGGCCTCCTTTTTGTAACACACACCCCTCAGGAAGCAGCCCGTAGCAGCTGTCTATCTCCCAGGTACTTATTTACTGCTAGGTAACAGGGGCATCAGGGTGAAATAAACATTTTGCCCATTTGTCTCCGCCTCCACCGGGGATCGAACCCGGAACCTCAGAACTACGAATCCGAAGCGCTGTCCACTCAGCTGTCAGGCGCCCCAGCCCTTTCTTAATAACTTTTCTCTATCTTCATCTCATTATTATACACATTAGAAACACTCACCTTTTTTTCTCCCTGAAAAGATTTATTCGGCGGTGGAGGACAAAGGTTACAAAGGTGGAGGTTTGGAGCTTACCCATAAATACTGTTGATACTTATTGGTTAGTCATTTCTGCCACTGTTGTTGTTTTTACTCGTCAGTAATGACCCGCGTTGTTTTGTTGCGACCTTCTGCCACCGTCTGTGGCTCACACTGTGCCTCTGGGTGTGGCGTCTCCTGCACTCTGCTACAGCCTAACCAAATCTCATATAACCTAACAAAACCTGACCTTACCTCGCGTAACCTGGTAGAAACCCACACTGGTGGCGGCACAAACTGGTAGAAACCCCACACTGGTGGCGGCACAAACTGGTAGAAACCCCACACTGGTGACGGCACAAACTGGTAGAAACCCACACTGGTGGCGGCACAAACTGGTAGAAACCCCACACTGGTGACGGCACAAACTGGTAGAAACCCCACACTGGTGGCGGCACAAACTGGTAGAAACCCCACACTGGTGGCGGCACAAACTGGTAGAAACCCCACACTGGTGACGGCACAAACTGGTAGAAACCCCACACTGGTGGCGGCACAAACTGGTAGAAACCCCACACTGGTGGCGGCACAAACTAGTAGAAACCCACACTGGTGGCGGCACAAACTGGTAGAAACCCCACACTGGTGACGGCACAAACTGGTAGAAACCCCACACTGGTGACGGCACAAACTGGTAGAAACCCACACTGGTGGCGGCACAAACTAGTAGAAACCCACACTGGTGGCGGCACAAACTGGTAGAAACCCCACACTGGTGACGGCACAAACTGGTAGAAACCCACACTGGTGACGGCACAAACTGGTAGAAACCCACACTGGTGACGGCACAAACTGGTAGAAACCCACACTGGTGACGGCACAAACTGGTAGAAACCCCACACTGGTGACGGCACAAACTGGTAGAAACCCCACACTGGTGGCGGCACAAACTGGTAGAAACCCACACTGGTGGCGGCACAAACTGGTAGCACAAACAATACAAGATCACACCAACAAAATTTAACCCAATGTCTTGGAGACTTTCCAAGGGACTCGGTTGCACAGCTCCAGACACCAGTGTCACCGGTGGATGAGGACACAAGCAGAATATACACTACAAAGAAACTAAAAGTATACAGACTCTCAATAGCAGTTAATACTCAAAGAGGGATTCAATAATATAATTTTAATTCTAACTCATCGGAAAAGACAAGAACCACATCACATTAAAATGTATCTTTAATACTCAGAAGAGATCAGTCACTGAGCCTTCCGCCGCCAGCAACAGTACGATGAAACGTGATCCATGGTCAGAACGCTCTCCTGAAAACTGTCAATCACTGTTTTCTCCCCTCACTTTCCCTGAGAAGCAAGAAGCACAAGAAGACGCTCCCAAAATCAAGGCACGACTTGGCACGGAATCCTGTGACTGCTCGCAGGAGTTGTAGACCTCTCAAGCCCCTGCCAGACCCGGAGGCAAGCTAGCACCAAGGCTCAGACAACATCCTCAAGAGAGCTCCAGGCGCTCACTTACTG